AGTGAGCCATAGTTTTGGCTTAATGGCTTAGTAAGTAAATTACATGCAAAATCCTTAAGTTCATATTTAATACAGAAAGCTTGCCAACTAGAAAATCAAGTCTGCTTTCCAAGAAGGTCCTCTGCTTTCTGTGAATGTTACAATGGGCTACTGCACCCTCTGCTGACTACAGAATGCACTTACAAAAACAAACTGGATGGCCTCCTCTTGCTATGCAATAAAGACAGGCCATAAAAGTTGTGTAAGAAAACCTGTGGTACATGTGTTTTTGTCATCAGTAGAAAAAGCACAGTAGAGTTCCAAGGTCAGGAGGGAGAAAGCTAGAACATATGTCAAAATTTTAGTCCTGTACCTCACTGAACTGTTTCATGTTTACCTTGTTCCATAAAGCCTTGATCAATAGTTTACGACTGAGCACAGTGGACTGCGAACTATGTAGGACAGCTCTGCTATACAACTATAGAACCATGGATGGGTTTCTGTGTAACATCATCACAGAGATGCGAGCGCAACAGAACTCTTCATGGCATAAAGCTACAATGACAAAGAGTTGTTGTGCAGTGAGCTGCACCAAACACAGAGAAGATGGTTGGAGAATGTTTAATATCCTCAGAGGATCACATCCCCTCTACACCGTAGAACATTATGGATCTTTTTTTGATGGGGTGATTGGCTATCAACACATCTGAACTGTAGTTTTAATACTGGTAGCATTTTCTGACATGGTGATTTAAACAAGGCTGTGGTCAAGTTCCCGTTAATCAGCTTCTTGTTTGAATTTTCCCGTTCCACCTTAAATGGGTGGGCAGCGGCCTGAGGCACCAGAATGTAACTACTGAATGGGAAAATTCAAATAAGAAGCTGGCGAGCAAGAAGCTGACTTCAGCTTTGTGTGGTCTACAGATCTATCTATCTAACCTATCTATCCTACCTACAGTTACCTGTAAATATGTGTTAAAGTCAAGACATTTCAACAAGGTTGCACAGTTCATCAGAACACCTGTACGTTTCTATTTGCTATCATTAACTAGTTAGATAGCTAATGAGTAAGTTAGCGCTGTGCGTGATTCATATCAATGATAGCTAAACTAAATAATATTGGTTTTTGTGATTTGGATAGCTCCTATTAGCTAAACATTGTGAATAGCAAACTCTTTGCGGTGTTCACAGAGACCTGATGTCTAGCCAATGCTGACAGTGAACAATGGCTAATGTTTTACATGATGTTATATTAATATGCAAAGGAAAGACAAACAAACAGATTCAACTCAGAAACGGCATTTCATATTTGAGTCAACAAGAATTCACAAACAATGCAAAACCAGAACGGGTCAGAACGGTTCATAGTGGTGGTGACGAAAACCAGACATCTGAAGGATCTGATGCCTCTAAAAGCTCCCTCACAAAAAGTTATTGCATAAAATTGTTAGAAATACACTGCCTGATGTCTGAGACATTGTTTTATGATAAGTAATCAGCTATTGGCCTAAATATACAGTGGTGTGAACAAGTGTTTGCCCCCTTCCTGATTTCTTATTCTTTTGCATGTTTGTCACACTTAAATGTTTCAGATCACCAAACAAATTTAAATATTAGACAAAGATAACACAAGTAAACACAAAATGCCGTTTATAAATGAAGGTCTTTATTATTAAGGGAAAAAAAAATCCAAACCTATAGTGCCCTGTGTGAAAAAGTGATTGCCCCCTAAACCTAATAACTGGTTGAGCCACCCTTAGCAGAAACAATAGCAATCAAGCGATTGCGATAACTGGCAATGAGTCTTTTACAGCGCTGTGGAGGAATTTTGGCCACTCATCTTTGCAGAATTGTTGTAATTCAGCCACATTGGAGGGTTTCCGAGCATGAACTGCCTTTTTAAGGTCATGCCACAGCATCTCAATCGGATTCAGGTCAGGACTTTGACTAGGCCATTCCAAAGTCTTAATTTTGTTTTTCTTAAGCCATTCAGAGGTGGACTTGCTGGTTTGTTTTGGATCATTGTCCTGCTGCAGAAACCAAGTGCGCTTCAGCTTGAGGTCACGGACAGATGGCCGGACATTCTCCTTCAGGATTTTTTGGTAGACAGCAGAATTCATGGTTCCATTAACCACAGCAAGTCTTCCAGGTCCTGAAGCAGCAAAACAGCCCCAGACCATCACACTACCACCACCATATTTTACTGTTGGTATGATGTTCCTTTTCTGAAATGCTGTATTACTTCTACGCCAGATGTAATGGGACATACACCTTCCAAAAAGTTCAACTTTTGCAATCACTTTTTCACACAGGGCCCTGTAGGTTTGGATTTCTTTTCCCTTAATAATAAAGACCTTCATTTGTAAACTGCATTTTGTGTTTACTTGTGTTATCTTTGTCTAATATATAGATTTGTTTGGTGATCTGAAACAATTAAGTGTGACAAACATGCAAAAGAATAAGAAATCAGGAAGGGGGCAAACACTTGTTCACACCACTGTATATACAGCTTTGAAAAGCATTCAGAGCAGATATGTGCTGAGAGGACGTTGTGAGGAAAAATAATCCCCGAAGATGTGTTTTTTCCTCGTTAGGGAAACGAGGGCTTGTTAAAAACGATGTTGAAACGGACCCTCAGCTAGAGACTAAACTGAACTAAACTGTATTAAAGTGAAACCGAACCGCTTCAGGCAAGTTTAATGTTCACTAACTGGAATTATTAGTGAATGTTTCCCTAAAAATAAAAGTATGTTATCGTTATTGGGATTATTTAACAATTTACGAATGGAAACTATTAACGTTTCACTTGGACGAGTTACGTTCACCGTTAGTCTGACTAAAGATCTGTGGGTAATGTTAGCTTAGCTAACCTAGCTAAGCTACCTAACCTAGCTAACAACTCAACGGTGTGCTTGTCTGTGTTAGCGGTAGCTGAAACGTTTCAGTCGGTGTAAGATAACTAGCAAACTAGCTGTTTTCTGTGTCTGTCCTATAGTGAAAGACGCTGGTAGAGTTGCGGTTAACTTCTGGGTTAACGTCAACAGCTTTTCTGAGAAACTGAGCCAGCGTTACCTGTAGCGCTAGTTTAAACTGACCAGAGCGGAGGGAACACGGCTCCAGTCAGTGAGTTATGTGGTAACGGTAAAGTGTCATAAACCATTTAATAATTCACATGTGAAGGAATACTAATGGAAGAAGGAGTTTTATGGATTTAGGGAAAATCTGTGTGGAATGGGTGACTGAAAATCAATGAGGCTAAAATCACAGGGGCAGATTGGGCACAAACGGGCTAATGAGCTAGTTTGCTTTTCGTCACCCAGCTGTAGACAAAACCGTCCACTCTGGTTTGGTGCCCAGCTGTGTCTCGCGGTGTTTTGGTTACAGACCTCTGCGTAGTCTCGGCTCTAATCGCAGCGGCTCATTTGATTTTATGAATAGTGCACTCAGGACAACAGCAGTTTTACTAAAATTACTGTCTAAAGCCTTTAGCTCGGGTTAGGAACCGAGCAGCCTCCATCTAAAAAGAGTCCAAAGCCTGTTCTTTCGTCACAGCCGCAGAACTGCCTTCTTTATCCGTGACTTGGGGTGACCAGGCGAGAGAGCCAAGCCGCCCTTCTACAGAAAATGTAGCGGCGAAATGTGTTTGTCTGCAGACGAACGTCTCTCTGTTGGACTGTTCATGTAGGGAATAGAGGCCACTTTGGTCTCGATCTGCGTTTCGTGTATCACAGCATCAAACATTAGATCACATCAGCGCGGGACTCGTCCAGTGGTCTGTTAACGCTGTATAGGAACACAAGGCTGCTGTATTCGGTGAAACAAGTCTGTATCCTGCTTTCCAGCTTTGTCTGTGTCTGTGTGTCCACGAGGCCCACATGACTTTCAGTAACCTTATTTTTCCCACTGCTCTTCTGACAAGCTCCGCCTGCTTTGCTGGGATTGGCTTGCAGTTCGGACTAAGAGGCGGTCCGCGGCGGGAGACTTTCCCCCAGTATGGGTAGAGAAAAGCGCTTTTACAGCTCAGAAACAGTCGCGCTGACTGAATATGAAAATGGATATTAAGGGTTGTGGTTTATGATGTTACAACATGAAGCAAGTCACGACAGAAATAATTCATTTTTATTGCTTAAATTGTGTTAGGAAGTACTAGATAACAGTGGGTTGGAATACACGTAATATATAAATATATATATATATATATATATATATATATATATATATATATATATACATATATATTATATTACACGTGTGTGTATATGTAATAATAATAATAATAATAATTAGTATTATTATTACTCAATTAAATAGCGATCATAGTAGGAAAACAATATGGAATAGATGATGATAAAATCCAATATGAATGAAGAAAAAGCGGAATTCTTTTTGGTCACTGCTTTTCTTCTCTGTTCTCCTTTAGAGACTATCCCCTCAGACAAAGAGTATCCCTGAACAAAAGGCGTGTAATAAATCATTTTGGATACCAGTGTTTTTGTTAGAAACAAACTTTTTATTCATAAGAGATCAAGCACTACAAAACATCAGTGAAGAGTGTTCCAACAAATATTTAGAAAACATTAATACATTTTTACAATTAAATACTTTATAACAATCACCAAATACTTTATGCCATAGTTTCATCAGTTGTAGAAAACCTTCAAAGACCCCTCAAAAAACATCTTAAATTACAAAATAAAGCAACAGTTTATCTGTAAACATAGTTATACAAATCATACCTCAGTGCCAAAATATCAATATGTGGATCAGAATGTAATCTATAAGGCAAGTGGCTTGCAATGCAAAACAAGTTCTTGTTTTATTTTAAAAAAAGTATAATGGAAGCGCTTTAACCTCACTATTTAGAGAACTGATCCTGTAGTGTGTGTGTGTGTGTGTGCGTGTGTATAGGTACGTGTATGTGTGTAAAATGTGTGTGTGTGTATGTTTACAGGGTGTAAATGTATGTATGTGTGTATTTGTGCATTCATGCTATGTGCAAGTATCTATGCATACCTTGAACGTTTCCAAAGCTTAACATGTGTGCTGCTACTTTGACTTTCAGCAAGATTTTAACTTGTCCAGGTTCAAGCAGAGCTTCTCCAGGTACCGCTGCAGCTCCAGCAGGCACAGGTAGTTGGATGTGATGGGGAACGCAGTCTCGTCTTTGTGTAGGTTACTTCCAGGCTTGGGCAGTGGGCAGCCCTGAGAGACGGCCATTCTCTCCAGATTATTGAGCAAAGTCTCTAGGTCTGCCTGGAGCTGCCTCAGGTGGTGGGCCGGGGGCACTTGGAGCCTCATCTGCAGGTAGCCGAGATGCGTCAAAATGGAGGTCAACCCCTCGATTGGTGTGTCAGTTTCAGGGCCAAAGTCAATTTCAGGTGACATCTGGAAGTGCTGAGAAGACAAAGCCGAGAAATGAGAAAAAAGTCGGTTTACTTTGGTTATTCGTGTGAAACACAATGGAAAAAATGGGGTTGGATCCCAAAACATGCTACAATTGTAAAGTGCCCTTTTTTCTCCGGGTATAATTGCCTGAATAGAGCAGAAATTAGGAACCTAGGTAAAATCAGCGCTATTAATGGATAGTGAGTTCCTTAATCACCATGGGGCATTACATGTGCATATGATTTTAATTTTACATCTCAGATAATCTGCTTGTATGGATCACTTAAAGGTCGCTAATACTACTCCATAAACACAACGTCTCAGCGATGCGAATTTCCTCAAACTTATAAACAGTTGTAATAAAGCTAATGAGGGGTTTTTTATTGTTCTCAGTTGGTTTATTAGATGACTGCAGCAAGTTGGGTGCTGTGTAAAACTGTTTTAGTCCGTTCGCTCTTTTAAATACTGACTGGATGGCATGCTGACCAGATGTCAGGTATATACCAAACCCATTGCATATTTTAGGTACTAAATCAAAACTTTTATAATACAGTCTATTTAACATATCAATTTTAACTTCTATCTTTTTATACTGCTTGTATGTCTGCTTAGACATATCTTTCATGGAAAATGTTGGTTTACTTCATGAAGCATCCGCTTAGACTATAGGCTTATTTATATGCTTATTCAGAAAAGGGTACATAAAGTATGACTTTTGCTTTAAAAACCTTCCAGGATTTCCAGTCACAGAATATATAAATGCTATTTCATACAGTTTAGAACTTGAAAGTTTCTTTAGTAGCTTAAAGCAGTGCCGGACAATTGATACCTCAGCTAAAGCCTGCAGACACAAGTTCTCTACGGTATTCAACCACTTTAAAAGTTCTGACATAGCTGTTAGTCATTGTTTATTAAGAATCAACTTCCATCCTTTATGCCGATCGACTGACAACCAACATGCATAGATCCAGAGAGGATGGCAAAGGAATGCTTACAAAAATTGTATACATAAAACATAAAGTACTACAGATAAAGTAACATAAAAAAAAAAAAATAACCAGAAACTTCTAAAGGTCAATTATCAGTGTTAAAATATTAACGGACTAAAGTTAAGCTAGAGATATGATTATATGTTATATTAGAAATGCTTCATTAAAATGTGTGGCTTTTGAAGCAGTAGAATTCTTCATGTTTTTGCGGTTTACCTCATCTTTGATCTTTTTGATTCTGCCCACAGCAGTCCTGGCCATGATCCGGACCGTGTCGGCGGTGATTGCAGGATAGCAGGCTGATAGTGCCACTATAGCTGCCATTAAGGTGCAGAGAAGAGCCAGAGAAGAATACACCTGCATTCTGCAATGAAGTAAATATCACTGTGAATGCATGTTTTACTTTACCATTGTGCCTGTATTAAATTTCTGAAGTCAACGAATTGAAAAAATTGAGACTTTTTTAAATTGAGACTTTTTTAAAAATTCAGAAAATCTTTACGAATCAAAAGCAGCAAGAGGGGAAAAAACACTGAAAAAAACATTCAACTTACAGAAATTTCGGCGCGCAGGTCTGTGTTGTCTGACAGCCTGTAAGTGAGGTGGCTTACCTCTGTGTGGAGCAGGACATTGAGAAACTAAACTTCAGGCTTGCTTTCTTTTATAGCCCCGTGATTGACTCATCGCCCGAGTGAATCACCCCCTGCACCAAGAAAGGCCTTTTGGAATCACCATGTTGCCCCCCCCAATTCATCCACCAACACATACACTCCTCCAAAGTCATTCCTCGAATGTACAGGTAAAATCACACCCGAACTGGGATGGAGAAGAGGTAAAATAGTTTTATTTACACTAAAAAGTAGTTGGTGGACATTTCCTTCTCTTTTTTTGACATTTTTTGGCTTTTTTTTGGTTATCTTTTTGGACCTAAGTTAACCCTTGAATGAATGAATACATTTCTGAATTTCCTTTTTTTGTTTTTTGATCATTACTGTGCATTAGCAGTGTAGGACTTGTATTAAAAACTGTAATCACACCAGTCTGATTACACTCTATAGTTTAAAGGGTTTATACTAGTAAGATTGGAGTTCTCTGTGAACTGAACTTCATTTACACTGCCCTTTCAAAAAGTGTGGCCACCTAACTTTTCAAAATGTTTATTTCAAGTGTGCATCTTTTCTTTGTTAGCTTATTGTATTGTATTAAAAAAAATCATGTTTGGTTGATCGCTTATGTATTAGTAAGACAAATTATTTTATTTCGGTGTAAGACGTCAATATGTGTGACAATATATATATGATAGTATTATCTAGGGAAAATTGCCAAATCCAACATTTTGTCCCCTTGTTACAATGTCTGCACTCATCAGCACTCAAACCTTTCAGCCGTTTAACTCACCGTTGTGCCAAGAGTTCTTGCTTCATTGAAAAATAACATTGAGACAATTCAAATGGCAAAAGGAAGCTCAGTACTAAGTACTATGAAACTACTATGTAGTCTACTAGGTGTGTGGTTATGAAATTGAAGAAATGTAGGCCTGAGTAGGTTAGAGAGTACCGTTTGAAATTAATAAGTGTTTTCATGTTCAGTTTATAGTGAAGGCAATATGTACAAAATGCTTATTTTACATTCTCCTTTTCCTTCATGAAGGAATTAGGATTGAAAGACATTAAAGACGATGCAGTTTGGCCCTGCAGCTCATTATCAATCCTGAAACACATTTACTTTTAATGAAGAAGGAAATTCAGTTGAAATGGTTTCATCAGTGCTATTTACTGTGATGATATACTTTGCAATTATGTTCACTTTATTTATGATTTCCAGTTTAGTCATAATTGAGATTATAACATAAATGATCATCAGTCATTAGTATAATTTATAGAGATGTTTAAGATGTAGAGAGATTAATATATAGATCTACAGGGAAAAGTTATATGGTTTTTGGTATATGTGTCAGTAGAGATAGTGGTGGCTGAGACACAAGATAATTGCATACTTGCATGATTTTTTTTTACTGTAGAATTTAAACAGTTTCATTTTTTAATGTATTTGCTATGAATTAAATGCAGCCTCCTTTGCCACATACCATCCTTGTAAGTATTTGATTTCATATGGGGCCTTGTCTCTGTTGCTCTAGTGCGCATTAAATAAAATCATAGATGTTGTAAAGCACTGTAAAAGAAACAAACGTATTATAGTGTTTTAGCTGTATGTATTACTGTGTACATTTCTAACACACTGAAGATTTATTATATCGTCTTTTTTTTACTCGTGCTTGTTGATCATGGCCTGTGTGATTCCTCATCGCTGTGCTCGATCCAGTGTCGTTCTTTTACTCATCTTCATTGAATGTGTGCTGTGTGATTCCTCATTGTTGTATGCGATACAGATGATTTAGTATTTGGTGATTCAGTGCATCTGCGCAAAGTGAGTTTTTTTTTAAAGAGTGTGATTTAGAGTGACGGTTCTGCGCATTTCAGTAGGAAAGATAGACAAGTTTAGCATATAACAGGGTTTTGTGGAGAAAAATGAATGTGAAGGTAGCAGCAAGCAGAAACTGGAACAGAGCGGCTTGGACGTATGGGGGGAAAGAGCTGCTCTTGAAAGAATTTGTCTTTGAAATTACTGAAAGATTTTGCATGACTTAAATACTTTGGAATTTTGCTCAAATGTGTTTTTAATAGATAGTGTGAATTTTACATTTGACGTCATTTACATTGCACATGTTTAGTGTCAGGCTAGGTATTTGGTTGCCCATACAGTATGACAAAGTGTACATGTTTGCGTGCTTGTGTAAGATGTGTTGGGTTTCACTGCTCTGCATTCCTCTGACTGCGTCTGAAAGGTGGCTCTTTGTGCTCCCTCTGCTGATGTTGGAGCACAGTATGACGCTCTAACGCTGATGAAGAAAGCAGACACGCACGGAGTACATGAAGTTTCTTGGCGTAAATTTATGTGACTGTGTGATTAGATGGCTTTGTGACAGTACAGTTGTGACTAATGTTGACTAGTTGTTTGTAAGCATCCTTTATGTAGTTAGCAGTTAAAGGGGAATTCCACTGATTAAAAAAATCTGCGTAATTAAATGGTTAAGATGTATACAAAATTCTTTTGGGTGTTTCCATGTGAAACGCACAACTCTAGAAAATCTTGCCAAGTCAGAATAGTTCACAGTGGTGAACCAGATATCTGAAGAGTTTAACACCTCTTAAAGCTACCTTGCAGAAATGTATTACTTGAAATGTGTTGCTTGATGTGTAAGACATTGCTTATGAAACAGATACAGATCATTTACATTGTTTACAATAGTTTTGAGAAGATTTTGGCCTAAAATATTTTTTTTTAAATTGATGAAGTGGTTGTAAGGCAAAATGTTTTATTTTATGTCTTCTGTGTTTCAGATTTAGCACCATTATCAACATTACATATAAACACACTCAGAAGACGTGTAGATTCACTCGTCATTTTGGATAATAAATAAAATGGCTATATTTGTGTTCAGGGTTGGGATATAACGTCATGTAAGTATTCGGAAAATGTATTTAAAATACAGAAATGAAATATCTGTATTCATTCAAAGTTTTTAGAGGAACATATTTTATATATGTAACTATATATATATAAAAGTACATACATCAAAACCGCTTATCCTTCTGGGTCGCGGTGGGGTGCTGGAGCCTATCCCAGCTGTCATTGGGCAGAAGGCAGGATACACCCTGGACAGGTCGCCAGTCCATCACAGGGCAGACAGACAGACATACACATTCACTCACACCTAGGGGCAATTTTAGCATGTCCAATCGGCCTGACCGCATGTTTTTGGACTGTGGGAGGAACCCGGAGTACCCCCACGCAGAGAACATGCAAACTCCACACAGAAATGACCCTGGTCACCCGGCCGGGAATCGAACCCAGGCCATTCTTGCTGTGAGGCGACAGCGCTACCCACTGCGCCACTGTGCCACCCTATATAAAAGTATAGATATATAAAATATGTATACTTAACTATATATATATTAACTAGTTTAAAATCAGCATGCAGTGTGTAAACGCATACTCTAAAGAAGAACTTAAATGGCTTCTTTACAAACACTGAACAACCTGCTAAAGCCTGATTAATCAATTTGATAAGCCAGATATTATTCTCAGTGTTACTGAGCTCTGCTAAAGCCTGAGTAGACTGATAAATCAATGTGATGATCAGTTATTAATCTCAGTGTTACTGAGCTCTGCTAAAGCCTGAGTAGACTGATAAATCAATGTGATGATCAGTTATTGATCTCAGTGTTACTGAGCTCTGCTAAAGCCTGAGTAGACTGATAAATCAATGTGATGATCAGTTATTAATCTCAGTGTTACTGAGCTCTGCTAAAGCCTGAGTAGACTAATAAATCAATGTGATGATCAGTTATTAATCTCAGTGTTACTGAGCTCTGCTAAAGCCTGAGTAGACTGATAAATCAATGTGATGATTAGTTATTAATTTCAGTGTTACTGACCTCATTGAGGGATGAGTTAATGAACATGGTAGTGAGTAATGAGCTTATCACTGGTGTGTGCTGGCATTTTGTGGCAAGTTATATATGTCATTAACTAAAAATCACATAGCTGCAACTTATAGTCAACTTTGTTATTGGAATATGGCAAATTGCCTGCTTAGCTTTTGAAATGTCATGGGAATTGTGGGAGCAGCAGTGGACTGAAGCAGGCGATAAGAGCCAAAAAAAAAAAAATTGTAACTTCATTTAAATAAGTGAATTTTTCAAGAAAAATATTAACAGAAAAAAAACATGAAGAAGACCAGTAACAGCAAGCAACAGTGTGAACTAAATTAAAAAATTATATGTATAGAGTTAGTGTTATGTTACTAAGTACATTCAGGACAGTGTATTCAGTATTCTCCCATCTGTACTATTTCAGTGTATTCTGCCCAAAAGTGTTTATGTTGTAGATATTGTGACCCTTGGATCTTATTATCAACATTGTAAAGAAATTGGAAGTAAGTTTCTCTACAATGTTTGTTTTCACAGAAAAGATTATGCAGAAATTTTGTAAAATCAGTGAAAACTTTTTAACTATGCTAAAAAGAAGACGATTTATGAATTTCCAATCAAATACTAAATGCTAACTGAATAATATTTAGTTTGTTATTCCAACAGAGTAGTAATTGTGATTGTGATAATGATTAGCATAATTACATGTGAACCTCACCCTATAGACAGTGCAGAGTGCATCATAGGTCGAAAACAAGACAAAACAAATGTTCTCTCTGCTATAAGATTCTAAGAAATGCATTATTTTTTTAGACTTCTAGAAAGTCTAAAATGTTGCGGTCTGGTTCTGTGGAAGTTTTACGATATAATGAATGAGCATCTACATTCAGCAGTTGGATGATGTAAAACGTAAAACATGTTGCACACTGTGGGACTACATCAGACCCAATTATACCAATTTTAGCTGCATTTTTGTGGTTTAGTCCAGGAAGAATTAGTTCATCGAAATCCTGCCATAAAAAACCTCCCTACAGTTAAAGAGTGAATAAATGAATGAATGAAAGAAGACTGAGGTTTCCTTTTTTCAACCCAATTTCTTAATACCTTCATTATAAAAAATATTATTATGCCAGA